GAAACGTCAACAGGGGAATTAATTTTTCGTTTTGACGAACCACATTCAAACCACCGCCTATTAGTTCTAGACAAGTAACATGGCAAAACGTCCAAGCTCAAAAGAGAGCTGTAGTGAAGCATGTTGATTCACGCTCAATAACCCACTCGCTGCATTCTCGGACACTCTTTCTCCTTTTCCTTCAGCTCAAATACGTCTGTGCATGCAGTCCATCTGCTTTCCACATTAGCGTTCAAATTCACACACTCAACTTGTTTGAGCCATCTACGATACGGTTGAATCTCTCTCCCCACTCTCACGTCTAGCAGTTCTTTTCACAAAATTAGTGAATTTTGAAAGCAAGCGGCAATGAGTCATACCAGCACTTACGACACCTCGGGTATATGCCTGATACGATAAAAAAACGATCGTGGAAACCTCATGTTGGTAAGTCTCCTTCGAGTTATGTGTGTCCATGCATGTTTCGAATCACCTAAGCTCATGGCCTTTGGGCACAAAAGCTGTTGTTGGAACATGGAGAAATACGCCTGATATGCAGTGAATTGTGCTGATCCACGCTAATAAGCCCTGTCGCTGCGTGCAACAACCCACTGCCTCCTTTTCACATCGTGCCCGTCATCCATGCCGGAACGCCGGTTCAATCACCCCCTGCATGTACTAACACTACCTGCTTTATCCACCTGACTTTTGTGTTTACTATTCTACTTAACCATCACTTGCACGAGAAGTGATTTATTACGCTCTTTATCAGGTCAAGGTCAAACATGACTTAAATTAGTTTCACCTTTGACAATTCATTTCCCACGTGGCTGTCTTAATTAAAGCTCACTACACGAGCTCTAGTCTTATTTCTGTATTAGCGTGGGGAGGTCGGTTCCAGCGTTATCAAGGAGTCTGGTACCGTCATTTGAGTAGTTTTCTACCCTGTCACGGGCAAAAGTAACAAAAGGCTTAAGGAAATTACATTTCCGGCATCATTTTCTAAACATGTGACTAGCGTGGTAGAAAGCGATCCGCATTAAATTAGTATCGTTTCCAAGGAAATCAGTGCTCTCCAAAGGCTTTCACGTAAAGATCAAGGACAGCTTCATTCCAGGCACACTGCTTGTGAAGCAGAAAGTTGGCGATGGTTAGTAGTATGAATGGTTTGCGCGGCGGAGGGGGCGTCGGATCGCGGGTTGAGCTTTTGAGTAGTAGTAGTGTGGCGGACGATGCTTAAATCTACTTTGAGATTGCCAGTGATCATCGAAGAAGTAGCCCAAGTCACTAGCCACTAGGTGATTCAAGTCAATGCAACTATTCCAAAGTGTGTTTGATCCGTCCAAATTCGGCGACTCGCAAGTGACAAGTAACTTTTGAAATCAGACTTGAATGCATGCAGGTTCGCAAGATCAGCAATATGATTTTCAAGCAGAAGGCAATGGCAGTGGCGCAAACACAGTCGACAATTATGGAGAATAGAAGTAAGAACTGGTTAGCAACAACACCGTGTTGGCATGAGGTAACTGCTGAAACTTTTATGAATTTTACTTTTAACGAAATTGCGAAAACAAAAAGAAAGCAACGCCAACAGAGAGAAGCCAGTGAATATCGGTCCCCGCCCATTGTCACCACCGTTTCCGCTCTTGTAACAAATCAGAGTCCAAGTTCACAAGTCGTTAAACTGAGCGCCGCTCAGCCCAGCAGTCCGATGGCGCAGGATGCGTCGATCAGGCAGTCCATCGCCAATATGACCGAACGCACTCATATTCGCTTCAATGGATAAAAGATTAAAATGCCCGTTGACTTCCTCCTCAACACAGAAACCTTTGGTTGACAATCCGAAACACGCCATGAGAATAAGTACGCCACGCACATTGTCCCGTGAGATTCTACAGATAATTCTCCACACACAGTGCACGCATTCAACATGCAGAATACAGTCCATCGAAAAACCAATCTCCTGCTGTAGGCATCCCGTCATGGTCACCAGTTGTTGCGGGCTCGGGCACGTGGTATAAAAGAACGCCGGGCCCGCCGACTTGAATTTGCCCATTTGAGTCACTCAGATTCCTGAGAAGATAAGCTGAAGACCAGAGACACGATCGTTTATAAGAGAACTCAACACGATCTGAGTGAACCTGTGCTAGTACAGAGTGGGACTGTCACATGAATGGAATAGAAGGGTAGCGTGGGAGTAGAGCACACACCAGAATCAGCGCGATTCATTGCACTCTGACGAAGACAACTACCTCACTCCGCACCCAACACTCATGCCTCCGACTAAAAATTAAACTGGCGCACATTCGCTTGGTGCTGTTTACAGTCGCATATATTTAGGAAGA